CCTGAACCAATTAGTTCAAGAGTATTTCCCACTTTCTCTTCCAGTATGTTCAGTGGGACTGGATTTATGTTGAGGTCTTTGATCCACTTGGACTTAAGCTTTGTGCATGGTGATAGACATGGATCTATCTGAAGTCTTCTACATGCCAGAATCCAGTTATGCCAGCACCATTTGTTGAAGATGCTTTCTTTATTCCATTGTGTAACTTTAGCTTCTTTGTCACAAATCAGGTGTTCACAGGTATCTTGGTTAATATCAGGGTTTTCAGTTCAATTCCATTGGTTTACCGGTCTATTTTTTTTACCAAATCCAAGCTGTTTTCAGGACTATAGCTCTATAATAGAGCTTGAAGTTAGGGATGGTGTTGCCTCTGGAAGTTCCTTTATTATAAAGAGTTGTTTTGGCTCTCCTGGGTCTTTTGTTTCTTCACATAAAGTTGAGTATTATTCTTTCAAGATCTGTGAGGAATCGTGCTGGGATTTTGATGGGGATTGCATTGAATCTGTAGATTGCTTTTGGCAAGATTGCCTTTTTTACTCTGTTGATCCTATCTATCCAAGAGCATGGGAGATCTTTCCATTTTCTGCTGTCTTCTTTAATTTCTTTCTTTAAAGACTCAAAGTTCTTACTATTCAGGCCTTTCACTTGTTTGGTTAGTGTTACCCCAAAATATTTTATGTTGTTTGTGGCTATTGTAAAGGGCGATGTTTCTCTGATTTCTTTCTCAGACCATTTATCATCTGTACATAATAGTGCTACTGATTTTGTTTTGAGTTAGTCTTGTATCCTGCCACTTTGCTGAAGGTATTTATCAGCCATAGGAGTTTCCTGGTAGAATTATTTGGGTCACTTATGGAAACTGTCACATCATCTGTAAACAGTGGAAGTTTGACTTCTTCCTTTCTAATTTGTATCCCCTTGATCTCCTTTTGTTATCTTATTACTCTAGCTAGAACTTCAAGTACAATATTGAAGAGATATGGAGAGAGTGGACAGCCTTGTCTTGTTCCTGATTTTAGAGGAATCGCCTGAAGTTTCCCTCCATTTAGTTTGATGTTGGCTGTCAGTTTGCTGTATATTGCTTTTATTATGTGTAGATATATTCTTGTTATCCCCAATCGGGTGTTGGATTTTGCCAAAGGCTTTTTCAGCATCTAGTGAAATGATCATGTTGCTTTTCTTTTGCAGTTTGTTTATATGGTAGATTACACTGATAGATTTTCATTTTTTAATTTTAATTAGAAAGAAAATTATTTTACATGTCAATCCCAGGTCCCCCTCCCTCCCCTCCTTCCCTGTCCTCCCCCACAATAACACCCTACCTATCCCATACCATTTCTGCTCCCCAGGGAGGGTGAGGCCTTCCATAAGGGTGCCTCCAAAGTCTGTCATATTCTTTGGGATAGGGTCTAGGTCAAACCCCTTGTGTCTAGGCTCAGGGAGTATCCTTCCATGTGGGATGGTCTCCCAAACTCCATTCCTATGCTAGGGATAAGTACTGCTCCACTACAAGAAGCCCCATAGATTTCCAAGGTCTCCTCACTGACACCTACATTCAGGGGTCTGGATCAGTCCCATGATGATTTCCCAGCTATCAGTCTGGGGACAAAGAGCTCTCACCTTTTTCACTTGTTCAGGTCAGCTGTTTCTGTGGGTTTCACCAGCCTGGTATTTCACCAGCCACTTTTCTCATCAGTCCTCCTTCTCTGCAACTGGATTTCAGTTCAGTTCAAGGTTTAGCTGTTGGTGTCAGCTTCTACTTCCACTAGCTGCTGGATGAAGGCTATAAGATGGCATATGAATTAGTAATCAATCTCATTATTAGGCGAGGGCATTTTAGGTAGCCTCTCCTCTGTTGCTCAGATTGTTAGTTGGTATCATCTTTGTAGCTCTTCAGATATTTCCCTAGTGCCTAATTTCTCTTTAAACCTATAATGTGCCCCTCTATTATTTTATATCTTACCTTGCTCTCTTCTGTTCTCCCCCCAACTCAACCTCCCTGCCCCATCATGTCTTCCTCACTCCTCCTCTTCTCCCCTTCTCATTCTCCTAGATCCCTCTCCCCTCCTCCCATGCTCCCAATTTTCTCAGGCATTCTTGTCCCTTTCTCCTTCTCCAGGGGACCATGTTTGTCACTCTTAGGGTCCTCCTTGTTTACTAGCTTCTCTGGCTGTGGATTGTAGGCTCGCAATCGTTACTCCATGTCTAAAATCCACATATGAGTGAGTATATACCATGTTTGTCTTTTTGTAACTGGGTTACCTCACTCAGAATGGTTTCTTCAAGTTCCATCCTTTTGCCTGTGAATTTCAAGATTCCATTATTTTTTTTCTGCTGAGTAATACTCAATTGTGTAAATGTACTACATTTTCTCTATCAATTTTTCAGTTGTAGAGTTTCATATGTTGAACCAACCCTGCATCCTACTTTATGATGATGGATGATTTTTCTGATATTTTCTTGGATTCAGGTTGCCGGTATTTATTGATTAGTTTTGTGTCAATGTTTATGAGGGCTATTGGTCTGTAGTTCTCTTTCTTAGTTTTGTCATTGTATGGCTTGGGTATCAAGGTAGCCTCATAAAAAGAGCTTGGCCCTGAACCTTCTGCTTCTATTGTGTGGAATACTTTGAGGTGTATTGGTATTAGCTCTTCTTTGAATTTCTTGTAGAATTCTGCACTGAAGCCATCTGGCCCTGGGCTTTTTTTGGTTGGGAGACTTTTGGTGACTGCTTCTATATCATTAGAGTTTACAGGTCTGTTTAAGTTGCTTATGTGTTCTTGGTTTAATTTTGGTAAGTGATATCTGTCCAGAAAATTGTTCATTTCCTTTAAATTTTCAAATTTTGTGGAGTACAGGTTTTTAAATTATGATCTGAAGATTCTCTGGATTTCCTCAGTGTACGTTGTTATGTCCCCCTTTACATTTCTGACTTTGTTTATTTGCATGTACTCTCTCTGCCTTTTGGTTATTTTCGATACTGGTTTGTCTATCTTGTTGATTTTCTTGAAGAACCAATTCTTTGTTACATTGATTCTTTGAATTGTTTTCTTTTTTTTCCACTTTATTGATTACTGCCTTCAGTTTGATTATTTCCTGGCATCTACTCCTCCAGGGTGAATTTGCTTCTATTTGTTCTAGAGCTCTCAGTTGTGCTGTCAATTCTCTGGTGTGACTATTCTCTAGTTTCTTCACATGAGCTAGGAGAGCTATGAACTTTCCTCTTAGCACTGCTTTCAAAGTGTCCCATAAATTTGAATATATTATATCTTCATTTTCATTGAATTCTGGGAAGTCTTTAATTTCTTTATTTCTTTCTTCAACCAGGAATGGTGCAATTGTGTGTTGTTCAATTTCCATGAATTGGTAGGTTTTCTGCAATTTGTGTTGTTGTTGAATTCTAATTTCAAAGCCTGGTGGTCTGATAAGATACAGGGGTTATTACAATTTTTTTGGGCTGTTGAGGTTTGCTATGTTGCCAACTATGTGGTCAATTTTAGAGAAGGTTCCATGTGGCACTGAGAATGTATATTCTTTTGTGTTTGGATGGAATGTTCTATAGATGTCTGTTAATCCCAGTTGGGTCATAACTTCTGTTAGTTCCTTTGTTTCTTTGTTAAGTTTCTGTCTGGTGGTCCTGTCCAGTGGTGAGAGTGGGGTGTTGAAGTCTCCCACTATAACTGTGTGAGGTCTTATGTGTGATTTGACTTTTAATAATATTTCTTTTAGGAACATGTTTGCCTTTGTATTTTGGGGCATATATGTTCAGAATTGAAACTTCTTCCTGATGATTTTTCCTGTTATGAATATGAAATGACTTTCTTCATCTCCTTTGATTGATTTTAATTTGACATCTAATTTGTAAGATATTAGGATAGCTACACCAGCTTGTTTCTTGGTTCCATCTGATTATAATATCTTATCCCAACCACCCTTTACTCTGAAGTAATGCCTGTCTTTGAAATTGAGGTTTGTTTCTTGTATGCAGCAAAAAGATGGATTCTATCTTTGAATCCAATTTGTTAGCCTGTGTCTTTTTAGAGATGAGTTAAGACCATTAATATTGAGAGAAATTAAGGACCATTGAGTGCTTATTCTTGTTTGTTTTTGATTTGTTGTTGGTGGTGGTGGCATTGTGTGTAGATTTACCCTGCTTTTTCTTTTGGCTTTTGATAAAGTGGAATATATTGCCTATGCTTTTGTGAGTGTAGTTAACTTTCTTGGGTTGGAGTTTTCCTTCCAGTACTTTCTGTAGTGCTGGATTAGTGTCTTTGTATTGTTTAAATCTGGTTTTGTCATGGAACATCTTGATTTCTCCATCTATAGTGAATTAAAACTTGGCTGACATCCGTGGTGTCTTAGTGTTTATAGAATATCTATCCAGGACCTTCTGGCTTTCAGAGTTTCCATGGAGAATTCTGGTGTAATTCTGATAGGTTTGCCTTTATATGTTACTTGGCCCATTTCCTTTGCTCCTTTTAATATTCTTTCTTTATTCTGTATGTTTGGTGTTTTAATTATTAGGTGATGGGGTCACAAATTTGTGGTCCACTCTATTTCGTGTTCTTTAGGCTTCATGTACTTTCATTTGCATGTCTTTCTTTAGGTTGGGGAAGTTTTCTTCTATGATTTTGTTGAATGTGTTTTCTGCACCTTGAGTTGGGTTTCTTCACCTTCTTCAATACCTATCATTCTTATTCTTTTTAAAAATTATTGTCTCTAAACAGATGGCAGTTATATTATGGCACTTCTAGCTTCAGACATATTTCATAAAGAATGTGTTAGGGTATTTGTATATTTAAAACATAGTACTACCATATACAGTTCTGAAACACATAATAAGAATTCTTGGAAACATAATAGCATATTTTAAATACTATTTTTACTACATTGGGAAATTCCATTCATTGTATATCTTTTCAAATCAAATGTCATGGAAAACCACTGTATATATTCTTAGAAATATCTTAAAATACTGAAATATAGAGTCAATTGCTTCTGATTTTTAGGTGAAAAGAACAATAAATCAAAAGATAACTAAAAAATGTGTCCTTAGAAAACCAAGCAAAATACAGTAGATAGTAGATAGAATAAGTCTCCATAGGCTATTTCAAGCCATTTCCCAATCATCTATAGATTTATTCATCTCAAAAATATTTATTAGTTACATATGAATTTGAATTTGATAACTATATTATTCCCTTAATCATAAAACAAGAAAAACCCAAACAATGGTGCCAAGCAATCTGGATATCTAATGGAGTAGATTTTCACTTGCTTTTACCAGATCAAGTGCTTTCATTCTCTCTACATATGGACACCTCTTGACTTAGGCTTTGGTCAGAATTAATATCTCTTCAGACTACTTACAAAGTGGACAGAGACATGAACAAGAGGAATGTGTGCTTAATCCTCTCAGTGCACTTGGAATGCGAGCCAAAGCCTCTCCCATGTGTCTGGAGTTCTGCTCCCACAAGTTTCCCACAGCTTTTGCTCCTAGAGTAGTCTTTTTAATTACTACTTCCTTTCCGTTTATCTCCACAGAGTGTCTTTTGCTTTCATGGAAGGACTAAGATGGCTGAGTTCTTAGGGACTTCCCTGGTTTTAAAAGCAGACTATTCAGTGGCCACAGAAGCCCCCTAGGCATTCGTAATACAGAATAGTTTGCCATTGTAATAACCCAATTTATACCTAATTCTGTTCTTCAGTTTATTCAACTCACCTTTAGTAGTGTAGTCTTTAGTAGAATAAGAAGGAAATGAAACAAATGAAGATCTGAGAGAAAGATATTATAGTGAAGGCCAGAGGATAACTCCAGGAATAAGAGGAAGGAACTAAGGTGGGTCATCCATGCTATTAATGGTCAGTACAACTTCACAGCTAACTTTTCCCAATCCCTTATTTTCCTTGTCTCTCTTTACACCTGTATTTGTTTTGAACAGTTTCTTCTTTGCATCCTCCTCCATCCCTTTCCAGGCCCAGAAGTTGAGAACACTGTCCTAAAGAATGTATAGTAGGTGTAAACTCTGGATGAAAGTAGCACCCACCATAGGTTTAGGATTGGTGCTAAATGACTTAGAACACACACACACAAACAAACAAACACATAAACAAAAACCACAGAGCTGAATAGTGAGATACTATTGTTACTGTTTTCCTACGCGGAGTCCAGGACCACTGACTTTTGGAGACTCAGACGCTCCATGGCAAGCACTGACCGACTGGCTTAGGTACCACAGCACTGTGTAGCACTGTTTCAATGAATAACTTTGGAAAAAGAACCTGGTCCTAAGCATTAGCCTGGCTATAGGTTACATAAAATTTATACTGCATTTGTCATTTGCATGCTCAGTTGCTAAGGCTGATTGTATCTGAGAGCAAAAATCTGGTGTAAACCTTTTGCTCATACATTTTTAATTTATGGATTAAAAAGTTTGGAATAACATTCAAAGTCACAGATGCTTATCTGAGCTAAATGCAAAATATTTTGAGGTTTCCTATCAGCTATAACCATCAGAGAACTTGCTGCAAAAGAAAAACCTTTGCCCAGAAAACAAACCCCAGATTTATGTTGAATATTTACCTTGAGGGGGAAAATATTTCTCCATTTACAACTATAACATATGGATATAGAGATCCAGAAATCATTTTGTCTTAATGGAAACTGGGTTTAAAATAATGAGAGGCTCTACAGAGAGCTGTCACCAGTGAGTTGGGGCAGTTACAAGCTGTAGCACTAACAACAGCAGCAGCAGCAGCAGCAGCAACAACAACAACAACAACAACAACACACACATTTTAAAATAAGAAAGTAGTTGTACTGTGGTACTTGGATGGTTCTTGTTACACATGAGTGGAGTTCCTCCAGTTGCTTTGAAGATGGTTCCGGATAATCCTAGGGGTAGGAAAAGGAAAGTATGTAATTTACATACAACCCAATGCTAGTATGCAAGAAAAATCAATATAGCATTACATCAAGTGATTAAATAAGTGTGGGCCACATCATCACACTGAGTACATTTCACCAAGAAATTCAGGAACAGCTATGGAAAGGACTCCACAGAACAGACCTGGACAGACTCTGAATGAAATAGAGTATTTATGGGTTTGTAGATAGGAACTCCTACAAACTCTATCTCTGTAACTTAAGGTCATGAGCAGTGGTGAACTGAGCTTTCCATGGAGTAAAAGAGCTACAGCAATGGTTGGTTTCATAGACAGTGAAAACAAACTCTATATGCAATAATTTTAGATGCAAATAGGTCAGCTAAAATGGCATGACCAGAGGGTGAGGCAGACATAAAACAATGAAAAAGCAGACAGAAAGACCAAGGGGTGGTCTGGGAAGCAAAATGCCCCCCTTAATTTAACAAGAGAGTTTGAGGAGAAATAAGCAAAAGCTGAATGAGAAGAAACCGTGTCTTGTCTGACTTTTCATTAAGCTAATGTTGGAGGGTGTAGTTTAATTAATACTTTGCTGTTTCATTCAAATTCTTATTCAAAAGTCTTCATCAAAACTATCCCATGTGTTAAGGCAGTTGATGAATGTTTTACTCTTAGAGATTGCTTTCAATGTGTAATTTTAATTCCCAGTTATCCTGTTAAAATAAAATGCTTCTAAAAATCACTGTGTCACCACCCCTCATACCCTACTATATTTTGTTACAAATATTTATTGATTTTTAGTGGCTTTGTCTGTTCCTTCTGCTGTGCATTCCTTTTCTTATTCATGATCTGATCCTTCTAACTTAAATATCTTCTGTTGATAATACTCTACTGGGACTACTCTAAGTCTCCCCCCATAAAATTATTCACAGTTATGCTTCAGTCATGTACATTAGGTCTACCACCAGTAGTCAATAGTGATTAGGTGCTGCATAAAACTGAATCATTCTGCTCCAGCCCCATGTGGCTTGCTAGTCTACTTTCTTGTAATTGAGCCCTCTCAAAAGCAACACTACTTTCTTAGGCTTTTCTGCATTTTTACCTTCAAGTGTAGAACTTGGCATATAGTTTTTATTTTTTCTTTAGGGCTATTATAAACACTTTAGCAGCAAATCAAATGGTGATGTCACATGAAACCTACCTAGCAACATTAGGTAAAATATTATTTTAAAAATTTAGTATTAACTCATGCTAGTTTCTATAAATGAGACTTTCTCTGGTACTCTTACACATGCATTCAGAGTACACTGGTCATAAGATCATATGTTTCCATTCTTCTGTTCTCATGTTCTCCTCCCCTCAGTATCTTTTCCAATCACCATATTTATACCTTCACACCGAGTTTTTCATTTGTTTCTTTGTTTTTACATATTAAATGAAAATAGATAATTCTTACCTTAGTGTGCCTTTTTTTCTGGGTCTGGCTTGTTTCACTTAACATTATGTCCTCCAGTCTCACTCACTTTGCTGCAAATGGAAGGAGTTAAGGATCCTTCATGGATGAGTAGCACTACTTAGTGCATATATGCATATTTTCTTTCTTCATCCATCAATTGATGGATACCTAGGCTGCTATCATGACATAAATATTGTAAGTAATGGGTACAAATATGGATATATATATATATATATATATATATATATATATATATATATAGTTTTGTATACTGACTTCATTTGCTATATATAAACCTAGGATTGGAAGAGCTCAATTATATGATACTTCTACTTTTTATATGGTTCTTTAATGAAACTTTATACTGTTTTCCGTCGTGGCTGCATTCATTTATATTATGAACCTCAACATATAAGACTTCCTTTTCTTCCACACCATCACAGAATTTGTCTAGTTATTTTCTAACAGGGGTAAGATTGTAGCACAACTATGGTTTTGATTTGCATTTTATTTATAGCTGACATCATTGAATTTTTTAGCAGACCTATTCATTTTCGCCTTTGACAAGTATCTACACAGACCATCCATGCATTTCCTTTCTGCTTAGTTTACATCTTTAAGAACTGTATGACTTTATATTTGGTTACAAGACTTCAAATTGAAAAGAAAAAAAAAACTAATGACATTCTTCATAGAATTTGGAAAAAACAATTGTAAAGTATAAAAACACAAAAGACCTGAATAGCAAGAAAAGAAAAAGAAAGCCCTCAAGAAGAATAGAAGAATGAGCAGAGCTGCAATACATCATAATTCAGAGCCATAGCAAGCAAAACAACTGAGTGTTGGCATATAAACACATGCAAAACCCAGTGAAAAAAAGAAGCCAGAAATAAATCCACAATCTATAGTCAACTGACTCAACAAAGGTGTCTAACCTTGTAGGAAAAAGGACATACTTCAAAAAATTATGTTAAGAAACTGGCATGTTCACACACTGAAGATAGAAACCTGGTCATTCTCATCCACCCTGTATTCAAACATCACCAGCTGATCAAAGACCTTAATGAACAATGGGAAACTGAAATTATTGGGGGGAGACAAAAGGGATAGTTCATGACATAGGTACAGATAATTATTTTTCTGCATAGGATCTCAGCCTTAGAAACAAAAGCAAGCATCTACAAATGGTTTATATCAAAACAAAAAGCTCAGCACAGCAAAGAAACACTCAGCAGTGAAAAGTTACCATAGTGAACAGGAGAAAGTACTGATGAGGGCTGGGGTGTAGATATGCAGTACAATGCTTATTCAACACAAACAAGGCTCTGAGTTCACTTTTCAGCCCTGCACAACACGATACAAAATGCAATATTTTTATATCATTTCAGAGTCTTTAATCTTAAGAATCACAGAGTGAACTGAGTGTTTCTTGTGTCCTGGTAACTGCATATCCCTTCCAGGTGTAGATACTCACTTTCCTTTATGAAAGAAATCTCTGACTTAGAATCTATACCGAGCTGATGGATGTGCATAGAACAAATTTGAGTTTCACGGTGCCAAATACTCAAGATGTCTGTTTTTGACAGGGACTTGACTAAGTTTTACACAGATTTAGAATTACTTGGTCAATCAGTCTTAGATGTTTTATTGTTTGCCCACACTGTAGTTGGGATGCTGCAACTTTGGGTGAAGAGTGGGAGAGTAAATTCGCACTGGCAATGATTGTACTCCACTAGGAGATCAAAATGAGGGGAATTCTGGGAAATCTGGGATGTACATTCACCCTACTCTATGGAATGTAAATCTAGTGCTCAGATAGGCTGTATTCATTTGTTTCCTTGATGTAGGCCTCAGATTACAATTCCAGGTTTCTGGTTTCCTAGGCGTCCTAGGTTGTTGGCCGTTAGATTCCCTTTGTTCTTAAGGATCTAGAGAATTCACAAGCAATATTTCCTGGTAAGTTTATGACACTTTCACTCACCCCCCCCCACACACACACACAAATACACACTTCTTGCTGTGTTTTCCAGGTTGCTGGAATACTATCCATAAATTTAATTACAATCTGTTTAACAACATTTTCAAAATTAAATGCTTAATTAACTCTGCTATTTGTGGAATGACCAGGCTTTGGGTCTCCAAGATCAAACCCCTTTATACAGTGCATAGCTGTGGACTCTTGTGTTTATGTCCCTTGACTTCCACCATTTAGTTTCCTAGCTATGCTCATTTCACCATGGCCGCTATAGTTAACAAAATCCAAAAATATTCATGCAAGGCTTACCTTGAAATCTACTTCTAAGTCAGTGTTCTTTCCAGAGATGGAGGTTCTGTTTCCTGAGTGAACAAAAGCCATGCATGATAGAGGTAACTTGACAAGAGGGGAATTTTATAACAGAATAACCCAGGAAAATATCTCAACTGTCAATTTTGTTTTGGCAAAGGAGACAGAGCATTTATGATCTGTGCCAAATCTCTCAACTTAAAGTTTATAAGCTCTTTAAAATGTTTACAAAATGAAGATGGAATAATGACAAATCCCAGACTGTTGTGAAGAATAGCATAATGTGAAAATAACTTACTTTGCAAATGCTAAATGGTAAACACCTGTTTTAACTCCAACTTAAGATCATATTGCAGATGAAGTGATGTTGGAACGTGTTAAGTATTTCTTCTTGCATTAATTATGCAAGAAATTATTATTTTAACAAATTTACTTTTAAGACTCACTTCCACACTGTCCTCAAGGATTCCTGTAACTCTCCCAAGCTAGCACTACAGATTGGGATTCTTAAATTTTTCTGAACAAAGGAAAAGGTTGTCATCACCCAGCTGACATGGTCACATCTGATTTTCCTTAGAGCCCCCTCGAAGTCTGGTAGCTATCATGTGTTTGTGTAGGATTGTGGGATGGGAAGCATGGGCAGGGCAAGGAACCTGGGAATGGTCACGTGGGCCTGTATCCAGCTCTCAGTGCTCAGGGCTAATGCAGTCTAATGGTGAACTCTGGAGTTCTGGCTCTCCTGCATTTACTCAAGGGGCCAGGGTTCTGGTTCATCCCCTCTGGAACTCACAGCCAATTAGACTCTAGACCAATGGTTCTCAAGCTTCTTAATGCATGATCCTTTAATACAGCTCCTCATGCTGTGGTGATTCCCATCCATAAAAATATTTTTGTTGCTACTTCATAAGTGCAATTTTGCTACTGTTCTGAATAATAATGTAAATATCTGATATGCAATCCTCCAAATAGGTCTCAACCACAGATTGAGAAACACTGAAGACTATACACCTTTGGCTTTTCTGAGTCAATCTGTATTTTCCCTTAATGACTGCTAGAGGTCTAGAAACCAGAGTCAGAAATGCATGTCATCTTCTCTTATCCTTCCATCTTCCTGTCTGCATGGATGAACTTGACACACACATCTATGACTCCCTGAAGTAGAAAGCTTGGGTGAATGTGGAAGATGAACAGGAAGAAGTGAAAGGATATTTTTAAACGTGTATTTTATGGATGGGATTATGGACAACTTCATTGGAGTGACAGCAGTCTGAGGAAAACGGATCTCTGGTTTCTTGTAAAGAGCATTGTGTGCCTCTAGGAGTATGAAGAAGGCAGCTTCCTGCAGACTTTTGCTTCTGGTTTGAAAGCTTCACAGTGTGGGCAGGACAGCTGCTTGTAGATTTCCCTCTCCCTTCAATGCACACCTAAAGGTGGCACTGGGGCAGCTGCAAGGCATGGGCCATCAAACAACATGACACATGCATAGAATAAGCCAGGGTACAGATAATGGCCTAGCATTCTTCCACTGCAATTACCTCATACTATTTCTATAAATGCCACTGGGCTCTCTCAATGTTGAATGTTCAATTCCTGTAGCAGCTGTTGGGCTACCACGATACAGCAACACTCATGAAACTCAAAACAATACTGAAGGGAAAGGACTTAGCTTTCTAGGTATTGCAAGCTAAAAATTATGTATGTACATGTGTGCATGCACACAGTCTTCTGGGAATTTAATTGTTTAGAAATATAACTAATGAGTGGATTTTATTCCTTAATTGTCTTTTATTTCCTTATATTTGTTTACAAAGCATTATAATTGAATATCATAGGGGAAAGAAAGGCACAATGCTCTTCCAGTTTTGTATATTTGCTAGATGAAGATAATAGTCCACCCTCAGCACCACTATTCTGCATTAATGTTTAATGGAAAAAAATCTATTATTGGCTCACAGATATGCTTTGGAGTAATACGTTACAATTTCAATATTTTATGATCTTCTCAACCAGGAAATGCTGTGTATTGTTCCTTTATCATGCCCAATTAGACTATAAACTTTTGTTCCTCTTTTACTGATAAGTTTGATTTTCTTAGAAAACACACCAGGAGTAAAGGTTTATTAAGTTTCATTTATGTATTGTTTGTGTCATTATGTATCTTGAAGTCTGTGCTCAAGAGGAAAACAGTGTGCCGAACAGACAGTTTTCTCTGAGATGAATATGTAAATAATGTATTATCTGAAATTTTTTTTTGGCAAACATGTTCTGGACTGGGTACATGATACAGGTTGTTCGCATAAAAGAAGTTGGAAACTATAAGGCATCAGTACCACCTTTTAATCATCACTTTCATAATAAATCTAGTTTAAAATCACGATGTGGTATTTTCAGTCATTTCCAAGTTACTGTAGCAACATTTGTCCTTCATGGCTCTAAGTTCCCTGAGTAGCAATTTGTGTTGCTTTGGCATGCTTTGTCCCACAGTGTTGATCGTGAGCCGTGCTTGAGGGTTTCAAAGAGCGACTCCCCGCTCGTTTTAGTCCAGCCTAAAAGGTACCCACTGAGCCCTTTTTCTTTTTGCATTTAAGATTACAGATGGACGACCTCGCGGATGAGCTTCGTCTACTGTGCAACAGCGCCCCCTAGAGGCCCGATGCCTTGAGGACGGTCAGCACCCAGAGCAGTCTCCAATCAAGTCCTTTGTTTTTGCTTATCCGGAGAGCTATCCGTGCATGACCAAGAACTGTCTTTGAGAAAATGGACTGTGTTTCATAATCACAATCTAAAGCCCAAAGATGTGGGATCTTCACTTCCCACCATCTACGCCTCATGGGTCTTTTTTCTTTTTGACACTTAATGAGAGGAGGCTTTGTTGTTTTTTATTTTTGTTTTTTCTCTTTGCCAGCGAATCCTAACAAACTTACACACTGGTCAACAGCCTTTGGTGGCATTGTTTGGGATGAGAAAATCCCTGAAAAGTAACAGTCCCGGGCAAAAAAAGAAAGAAAGAAAGAAAGAAAGAAAGAAAGAAAGAAAGAAAGAAAGAAAGAAAGAAAGAAAGAAAGAAAGAAAGAAA